ACTTCTTAACTGTGCGTCTGAGCAAGAATCTGCCTCCTTTCCAATGGTAAATATGATAAAGGATATCTATGGATAAAAACTAAAAATATATAGGTATTTCTATATGGAATGTCCAAGTTCTATCCCGCTCCTAATAACCATATCAATCTAGAAGTTTGTAAGCTTATATGAAGATGTCCATAGGATGTACTTCCTCAATGCTCTGACACCATTTCACTCAGCCCTTTGTATATGTACTTCCTTGCACTACTATAACAAAACCTGCCTTCTCAACTGCAATTCAACATCTGAACAATGTAACTTAGCATTGTTTGCTTATAAGCAATGTATTATGGGCTAGTTGTTGAAAGTGGACAGACGGAAGACGGCAATCTCTACATGAAAGGGATTTTTTTCCCCCAAGTAAGCTTTGATTTGCATGATCATAAACTATATCATGCATACCTATTACATTGCTAAAGGTATACCAGGATAGTGTATGCTGGGACTTTACAAGAAGCAGTCCCAATTTTCAATGCTCCAGTTAGGTGCAACAACTTGCATTCCAAGATAGGGAGGTCTTGTACAATGTCCTTACAAAAAAGGGAAACAGCGGGCCTGTCCTTGTGTAGTTTACCTTTAATGACTGGATATAATGATAAAATATTACTCGCAGAAGACTAAAGTACTTGTAACATGAAGACACGGCTCCAGGCGCAAGTCATAGAAACTGCTCAAAATCCTTTCCCCTCTTGCACTGCTGTATACTGAAAGTGGCTGTTGTGTGGGCTGATGTGTTTTTGGCACTAGGTCCCCTTCAGAGCCTGATCTGGTGCAGACCTGTGGATTTTGGAGCAGGGGTCACAAAGACACACAACTGTCACATACACATGGCTGACTGGCAGTCTGATTTGTGTCTAAATTTGTCACTAATTTGCTTTACAAATGCCTCTCAATGTATCGGAGCTAAAATAGCTGCTGATCAGTTCTGTTATACAGCTCAGAATCTCTACTGATAAACTGACTGCAGGTTTTGGCTGTTACACACATGGGCATGGACTCGGAAGGATTCTAGGACATACGAGGAATGTCCTGGATCCTAAGGGTTGCCTAAGAGTTGATGACTCTCATAAGGTCTTATGATATGCGTGCTAGACCCATCATATCAACACATTTTAATTGGAGAGGAGAATACTGTCATATTTGTCAGATACTCTGAGGCTTGGCAGAGAACACGGCGGCATCTCTTGTTGTGTTGTAACATCTCTCTGCTGTTCTAAAGCACTTTTTACTAGCCCGAGAACTGCTAGTTTCAAACACTACAGCACACACAATATACACCGACAAGGAAGAAGCTTATCACCTGGTGATGGGAGGGTGGAAGAGAATGCGTCCCCCTGCTCTTCAGGTTTAAAGGGGAAACCACCAGGGTGACGGGAAGTGATTTCCTGACTTGTCACATACTAGTTGTGGGGCAGTGAAGCAATGCCTATTCATGGAGCAGCTGCCCCAGAACTTGGAGGATTAATGGCTGCTTCCATTGATCTCTGATCACACAGGTTGTTTGCTTTATAACTGATTTTCTTAAATTGTTTACTGATGGATCTTAAGTATGTGGTTCATACATGTGGCATGTTACACTCAGATTAATTGGCACAGTACTCTGAGGGATGGCATTATTAGATGAATCCTAATCCATATTCCTCTATATTGGTGCCTGTACATATGTACAATAAACCTTTTTATATAGATATAGAGAAGCACACTGTTTGCTGTAAGCTAAAGTTTGCTTTTTTTTTTTATTACTGTATTTTTGTGTTTTGCATGGTTTTTGTGTCATGTTGGATTAACATTTAAGTGAGAAACTGAAATCACTCCTACAAATCTGTCGATTTAGCAACCCCCCCTCCCCCGGCAAAAATAAAATTAAATTCAATGCACAGTGGCTACAACGCACACTGGGACCATGGGGAACAAAAGTAGCCACCCTCCAGAAGGAAGGACAGTGTCGGCACCAATTCAGACATGATTTGAGGATCTTCAGCCGAGTGATACACAAATAAGATACATTTTTGTTAATAATTAAGTTACTGGAATGTATTTTTTAAGATTTAAATGAGATTTGTGTCACTTTTAAAAGACCAATGCATCCTACATCAGCACTTCTACACATGCATTTCCCTGTCCAAGCATGCAGCGGATCATCTTTTTCACTTGAGGAAAGCTATCAAAGCAAAAATTGGCCATTGAGCAACAGTTTTTTTTTTCCTTCTTCAGCTTGGTTATCCCCTTACTTAGCTCTAGATATAAAAATACATGGATTTTTCTGTCCAGTTGATTTCCTGGTAGTTTCTCATTTGAGAAATCCTTTTTTTCCCTTTTCTAGGCTTCTGCACTTATGGAATGGTTTAGATTGAAGTTGCCAGATCTCGTTCATTGGAATTGGGTTTGTCCTATTGAGAGATGAGGCCATGACCTCCTAATTTGATCTTAGAGCCTGACTACAGCAATCAACTGGTCACCCTTTTTCATGTTCTACAATAGTTTATGCCCCTTTTTGCTGATCTTGTAATACATAAGGAAATCATCTCCTAGGCTTTGTAATATGGGAAGCTATAAATCATTTGTCGTCTGGCAGAAGAAGCAGCAGAATGCTCCAGTAGCCTGTATGCTTGGCTAGTTTATTAGATGGGGATCTGGAGAGGGCAGATCCAGACAATCTGAGGGTCTAGCACTAGTTGATTATATCTGCCAAGAAATGATCTCCCGGGGCTGTCTGTCACCATAGACAATTTATTGCTGCTACTTGCAGATTTGGAAACTTTGACCTTGAATGAGTGATGGGTTGGAACCTCTCAACTTTTTGTTGTTGCTGTGACGTCCAACAAATTGGGTATTTCTCCTCGTTCTCCAATTTCCGACAACTGTCAGGAAATTGAATCTTTTAAATGCAATACAGACCGCAGTGATAATGTGATGGGCTCTTACCCTTTCCTACTATTGAAAAGAAACGTTTTGGCTGCAGTTGCAGAGCTTTTTTTTTATCACAAATTTAAAGGGGACCTGTATCCACTTTAAATAAAAATCACATCGTCATACAGCTCTGCATGCTGACATGAAATCTTCTTACATTCATTAGCTAAGCAAACATATTTCTATTTTACTTAAAAAAAAATGTTTTCCCCACTTTGGCACAGATGATGTAATCGTGCCCAAGCATTGCATCCTGGGAAGGTTACATCAGCAGAGCATTGCTGGGAAATCTCATGTGTAATCTCACGAGATCTCAGGGAAAGGCATTTTCCTCGCCTGAGATGATGTGCATAGTCACATGTCCTAGTCACATGTGCCAGACTTCCGGGAAGTAAAGGGAGATCTAGTAACTTGCCCTTAAAATGGCAACTGTAAGAAGAATGGGGAAGAAAAGAGAAATAAGGTATGCAAAAAATATAAAGCCGGCAATTATCTAGAAGTATGTGTTTGTAGATTGTCATCACTAAACCTTTCTAAAATCGCATTTGTTATTTTGAAGATAAGGGTAAAGTTCCTCCTTTGATGAATTTTTTGTTTTCTCCATTTTTAATCTGATCTTACTATGTTCTCATACCGTACTTTCGTAGTATGTACAGCATGATGTTTTGCTTGTGTGTGTTCCCAGGATCTTGATTAATGCATATCCATCTGTCATGCACGCAGTGCCTGTCTTCCATTGGTCTCTCTGATCCTAACGGTTTTCATGTTCTGGTGTCTTCGCCTGTTTCTGTGCCATGCATGATTGCTAATTGGCTCCTTCGAGGGAGAAAATCTTTGAAGTCATTCTTTTTCATGTAAATTGAATGTCACAATCACAGTGACACATCAGTTAGTTGGAAGGGTTGCATATTTAAATGTGCAGTGAATAAAGTAGAACGCCAGGCAAGCATAAAAATTCCATTACATATTCCTTAAAAAGATTTTAAAGCGGACCTTTCCCCATGTCTTTTAAAATAACAACAAATACACCTTTTAGAAATGTTTAGTAAAGACAATCTACAAACAGATAATTGCCGGCTTTGTATACGTTGCATACCTTATTTCTCTTTTCTTTCCTGGTCTTCTAACGGTGGCCATTTTTTACTAAGGGCAGATGAATCCATCTCCCTTTACTTCCTGGAACTTTGGCACATATTACTAGGACATGTGACCATGCACATCTCAGGGGAGGAAAATGCCTTGAGATCTTATGAGATTACAGATGAGATTTCCCAGCAATGCTCTGCTGATGTAACCTTCCCAAGGTTCAATATTTGGGCACATTACATCATTTGTAAGTAAATGAAAAACATGTTTAATGTAATATGATTTAAAATCGGCATGCAGAGCTGCATGCCGATGTGATTTTTAGTGAAAGAGGGTAAAGTTCCACTTTCATTGGTTTTAAAATACGGATTGTATATCTGCCTGAAATCTGTTTTTATCATTCTTTGAACTTTGAGTGTAATGAGTTATGCACTGTGAGCCCATCTAGCACAGTGCTGCAAATGCAACTTGCTTTCAGGCACTGGGAGCAGGGGGTGGAGGGAGGTGCTTGCTTAGCTTACAAGAAGGAAAGGGCGCAGGAAGAACTTCAGTGATGTAATATTAGTCATCAGACAGGTGGCACAAAAAGCATTTGTTGGCTACTTGAAGTGGAACTATACTCCCCTCTGCTCCAGCGTTGCAATATCTGAGATCTCTTGCGCCGATGCCAACCCCTTCATCTGATCTGGTTTCCGAATCTTCGGCCATCTTGATTGGCTCCTCCGGGATGATGTAACCCCTGTGCAGTTCAGTGTACGTTGTAAATTATCACTTAAAGTTCCACTTTTTACCTTGGTTCTTTTTGCTGACAAGTACTTGTTTAGCGGTAATTTGCCTATTCTTGTAAGTGTGTGTGAGTGTTCATTCTGCCTGTGTATGGTAATAGTAAAATGAATGTAGCAGATTTGCATGTGAACAGAGGTGTGATGATGATTACATTGTTTTTGTTTTATTTTGCACAGGAAGCGATTATGGGCTCTTTAAGTAGTAAACTCCTAGGCCAAGAATCGAAGCCGACTGCCTCTTGTGAATGTAGAAAGCGAAAGAGGAGCCTAGAGTGTCAGTGTGACAGTGACAGCGACAGTGAAGAGGAGATAGAGGATCTACTGAACACACCGCGCAGGTACAATTCCTTTGTGTGTTGTAAAGTGTCAGCATGATGCAGTGGTGTATGGCTTCCTAATGCCAGCCACACGTGACTTTGTATTCATTATTGTATCGTATTTAAAAGGTTCCTTTTTTTTTTTTTCCTTCTTGCTTTTGCACCCACATGCAGGCATATACAGACAACCCACACACTCCCTTTAAGCTGTATAAGTGTAAATGAATGAAAGAAACCTTCATTGTTTGTAACTTGTATTCTAGCAGAAATGGTTTTATATAGCAGGGCTCATTCCTCTTGTTCTGTATTAGAGGTGAGCCTGCCGAGGATCCCCACTCTGACAGCTTTGGCAGAAGCTCCCTCTACTGATGTATGTTAAGCTGATCATATACCTTTTTTTGGGGGGGGGGGCTTAATAAGAGAAATGACTTGCTCCGCCCACAGTAAACAGCGCAGATGAAGGAATCTCCGCGCTGACGGCTATTGTATTTAGCAGCCATGGGTCCTGCCAGCTACTGAAGACCTGAACAGTGACGTCTGTTCTTTCACCCAACTTTTCACCTGGCTTTTTTTTCAGTTGCCTTTTTTTGTCAAGCCGGGTGGTGTCAATAGAGGCCGCCCACAGCTTGTGTGTTGTAATGGACTACAATCTCAATCGATGGAGTGCAATCTCAATATAAATTGGTAAACGTAACGTGAGATTTTATTCTGTCACAGGAGTGAGCTTGGAGCGGGGACTACTTTACAACACACACATGGACCATGGGGAACAAAAGTAGTCACCCTCCAGAAGGAAGGACAGTGTCGGCACCAATTCAGAGATGATTTGAGGATCTACGGCCGAGTGATTCACAAATAAGATACATTTTTTGTTAATTGTTAAGGTAATTGATTTTTTTCCCCATAGCAGCCAAGCTGACTCCAAATTGAACTTGGAGACCATTTAATATGGGACCTTTTCTGATTTGCGAGACCTACGTGTGTGGGTAGCTAGTTGAGCTTGTATATTTGTAGCCAATTGCCGCTTCGGACGGCGCAGTGCATTGTGGGATGGGCCGCGGTCGAACAGACCGCGGACATCCCATAATCGGTGTTCGGCGAACGCTCGAACATGCTATGTTCGAGTCAAACGCGAAGCTCATCCCTATATCTGAGTAGACCCCCGCAGACTTTGACACTACTGACATTTAGTTTGGTAAAGCACTGCCACATAAACGATTGCCATTTTCAAATGCACATTTTTCAAATACACTTTTTTTTCTTCCCACTGCAGCTCATGGTATCCAGTTACAGTGCACTTTGGCTGGGAGGTGCGTTGGGGTGCCGTTCAAATGAATCTCAGTGCATCTAGCGCACGGTAACTCAGGCTAGATGTTTTGTACAATAGCGTGTGTCAACTGAACGGTATTGTATGACTAACGCTAGTCACATCAGGCCGGGGTCTCCTATTGGAAGCCCTTGTGACAGGGCAAAAATGCAGCAGGGCAATTGGAAGATGAGGACAGTGTAGTCACCCACCCTATATCAGGGATTGCTTAAACAAAGACCTTCAAGGCAGGACACTGGCCACATTGCATCAGAATTTTCCCACATGAAACATCATTACTGGCTTGCAAGGCCATGGCTATTAGAAGGATGAACCCATCTCACCCTAGCACAGGGGCAGCCAAACTTCAGCCTCCAAGCTGTGGTGAAACTAAAATTCCCATCATGCATCTCTGGAAGTCATGCCTGCGGCTATAAGTCTTACAATGCCTAATTGGATTTGTAGCTTCCCCATAGCTAGAGGGCTGAAGTTTAGCTACTCCTGCCTTAGTGTATCCCAGTGGAAGTCGTCAATAAATCCAATTGTCCCTTATAAGAAGGTTCTATATGGGAGGAGAAAGTTTGGGACATATGGTGTGAATGTTCGCTTACTTTATCACATTACTCAGGTCCTCCTAATGTAATTTTAGAAATACAGTATAAGTTTACCTAAAAGGTTGTATCTGACCAACTGGAATCTCCCCTGCTGTATTGAGACAGCCTTCACCCGTGGAAAATTGTCAGCTGAACAGTGACTACAGCTAGTCAGATGCAGTCACTGATCGGCCATCAGTTTTCAACCTGCCTCCTTCAACTTTCCAGTCAACGTTTGCAGGGCTGAGTGGTGCCTATAAAGTTCGAACATTGTGTGGCCAGCTTGCCAAGTATTACTGGTATGCAAAATGACCAGACGTCTTCTTTAATGATCAACACTGGCCCTGGTTGTGGAATTTGCAAAGTGTGTCGTGTTGTCTGCATATGCGTATAGGAAGCTAAATCACTTGTCGGCTGTGTTAACAATTCTTGCTGTACCCTCACGTTGTGGTTGGCGCCTCGACTGAACGGTACTTGCTGAGCTCACAGTAAGTTATTGCTTGAGGGAAACCAAGTTAAATGTGTGACTGGCAGTTTTATTTGAGATCCTAAAGGGAATTATTGCTAATAATCTAAATTTTGTTCTGCAGAAAGAAGCTGAAAAGTACATCAAAATATATTTACCAGACTCTCTTCTTGAATGGCGAGAACAGCGATATTAAGATATGCGCACTTGGGAAAGAATGGAACCTGCACAAAATCTACCTCTGTCAGGTAAGAGCTGACGCTGCCTGCCAAATTCCGTGCTGTGCGGCCAGCATGACCGGACTATAGCCTTGCAATTTATGTCAAAATTTTTTAGGGACACATAGAGGTTTGTTTTGGTGGTATATAATCACCACTGGGGGGGTTTATTTTTTGCTATATAATGAAAAGTACCGTAAATGAAAAATAATGTTTTCCCTACGTTATGTTAAAAAAACATTTATTCTTACCCATATTTTTGGTAAAATATGAAAGTCGGGGTCACGTCGGGTAATTCAACACCAAACACGTCAAGCCTTAAAATTGAGCGCGCCCGCAAAATCGCAAAAAAAACGACCACACCAAAATTGGCCATTGGCGGCGCTTTAAATGCTTTTATTGCTCATCAGATTAGTGTTATCAGTGATTAATGGCCCTAAAATGATTGCTCTCACTGACATTCGCGGTGATATGTAACATGTGCGGCACAATAGGCGGAATCGTCGTTTTCGCATGTAGGTGCACCCGACGCATGATTGTGTGTGTATGTGGGGGGCGGGGGAGTTTTTGTTATGCTTCTTTCATTTTGTTTTTTTTATACTCAACTTTATTGCTATCACGTAGGAGGATAAGAAGCCCCCTATGTGATAGCCACATGACTGATCCTTTTTATTCTCCAAGACCCCTAATGTCACCTAGGGACTCTAGGAGAAGTTGATGAAGCAGAGATCTGCTTCTCCCCAGCTTCTGAAGCTGGAGAGTGGCAGCAGAATACATCACTTCCTGCGTTCAGGGACTGAAGAGAAGATCAGAGGGAGATCGTTTACTGATCTCCCTTTGATCTCCTGTCAGAGAGGAGCTGTGCCAGTGACTGCTACTGCTAATACAAGCAGTCGGGTGTATCTAGAGACGTCCGATCGCTTGAATGTAAAGCTTCTGGCCGGCCATTTAATTACAACGGACGAGCGGATTTCTCAAGACCTGTATATACTTGTTCACTGCATATTTCTATATGGATAAGAGTGCTCTGTGAATAGCAGAATTGTTGCCTTTTGTGTTACCCCTTTAAAGCCCCACTCCAGGCTGCTGTGCCCAACCCCGCACTGCTTAGGTTTATTGCTTGTTTGGCTAGGGTGGAAAGGAATAAGGTAAAATACTTACCTTATTCCTAGCAGTGCAGGACCAGCATTCGTACATTGTATACGAGGGCTTTTGAGGGTCAGCACATTTCAGACCATAGGAAAATGGAGGAGGGCACTGGCTGCCGAGGTTGTGAGGAATAAGGCACGTATTTGTACCTATTCCCTTACCCTTCAGCCAAACAAGTATTTAACTCGTGCTGTGCGGGAAGGGAGACCTCCCTGCATTGCACAGCAGCCCGAAGTTGGGCTTTAAAGTTTAACATTGGCAATGAGGACACCGCTGTAAAAAATGACCCTAACCGCTCTAACTGTTAAGAACCCCCTTCGCCCCTTGTGCTGGAATTTTTTTTCCACCAATTTTAGGTGGTGGCCTCTAGTTTTTGTAATGGAGTTAATTTTAAACAGTTTATCGCTAATGTTGCTGCCACCATTGAACATTTTGTACATGGAGATCATATCCCCCCTTAATCTCCTCACCTCCAATGTGAACATGTTTAAATTTAGTAGCCTTGTCTCGTAGCTCTGGTCCTCCATACCCCTAATTAGTTTGGTTGCCCTCCGCTGGACTTTTTCCAACTCAAGGACATCTTTTCTTAGTACTGGTGACCAGAACTGGACCGCGTACTCCAGATGAGGTCGAACCAATGATCTATAAAGTGGCAAAATTATAGACTTGTCCCTGCAATACATCCCCTTCTTAATACAGGACAAGACCCTGCTAGCTTTGTTTACAGCAGCCTGGCACTGCAAACTACCTTTCAGTTTGTGGTCTACAATGACCCCCAAATCCTTCTCCATTTCTGACTTCCCTAGCGGCACACCCATAATTGTATAACCCATTTGTTTATTTTTAATTCCAAAGTGCATTACTTTGCATTTATCGACATTAAACCTCATCTGCCACATTAATGCCCACTCCCCTATTTTATCCAGGTCCTCCTGTAATGTTATAGTGTCTAAGTCCGTGTCTATTACCCTCCCTATTTTGGTGTCATCCGCAAACACGGAAATATCGCTGTTAACCCCCTCCCCGATGTCATTAATAAATAAGTTGAACAATATGGGACCCAGCACAGAACCCTGAGGCACACTGCTCATTACACTAGCCCGGTATGAAAAGGTGCTCAGTGTTTAGCCCTTCTCCATGCAACACTGTGGTCACTGGTTGGATTCCCAGCAGGGGACTATCTGCACGGAATTTGCATGTTCTCCCTGTGTTGTTTTTTTTTTTTTTTGTGGGTTTCCTTGTGTACTCCAAAGAGATGCAGGTAGGTTATATGGCTTATATCTAACATGGTCACAGTATGTGTGTGTATGTGAGGGAGGGACCTTGGATTGTTAGCTCCTTGAGAGCGGGGACTGATGTGATTTGTATATTATAAAACGGACTGTGTAAATTGTTGCCGCTGTATAAATGGCTGATATACAATAATGGGCAGAGTAAGCCAGTGTTGTACAGCGCTCTCAGGCTAATTCATGTTCACAACAAAATGGGGGTTAAAAATGTAACTAAAAGCAAATTATTATTTTTTGGGATAGTAAATTTGGATGGAGTGGTTATGTCACAGAACATCAGTCTGGTTTTTATGGCTCTGTTTCCTAATAAGAGATTCGCTTTCTCCAATCGGGGAACTCGCTAATTGTCCTGATTACCAATGTCCCAAAATGAAAGTGAGGGTAAATCCAACATTCTGATTTTCCTCACATTGGAAAGATATCATCTCGCTTCCTGTTGCGTCTATGGGACAAGTAGTGAAAAGAAGGAAAAATGCAAGGGCGGATGGGTAAATAAGGAGAGTGGCAGAATGAAAGCTGAGAACTGCAGTACAGAAATACTTGGCTTGAGTGAAAAATCCAGACAAGGAGGGATGTTGGAATTGAGCCACCGGAAGGAAAAGTAGAAAACACGAAGACTCTTGTGTAACTTTTCACTGCTAAACACACTGCTTCCTCGGGGGCAGTTAGTGTACCCCGTTGTGCCCTATGCAACTTTCTACTCTGGAGAGCGTGGTCATGATATAATGATCTCCAGCATTCAGGACCCGCACACAGGTGGAGGAAGAGGACCTGTAATACCATGTGACGTACTGAAGATTCACAACAAAATGTAATGAACGGAGCTTTTTGCAGCGGAGCACTGGCACCCTCTACTGGTCACTCAGGAGAAATGAAGTAACGCTCGTCAGGTAGTTGGCTTTTACATGCCAAATCATTTACTTCACACAATTCTAAACCTCCCACCTGATGGCTGAAACTACAAATTGTATACAGCATCTAAAACTATGCATAGCCTTACAGTTTATAAAGTTCTTTGAGCTAATGTATGAAAGTAATGCATAATATTGATGCAAAACTCTAGTATTTGGAAGAGAAGAAAATGAAAGGACTTCAGTAAAGAAACTGGATCTGCAATAAAAGTTTTACTAAAGTAAACAGATATATATAGATATTAATGTAGGCCTTGCTAGAGCTTTTTGTAAGTGACTGTGAACACTCTTACGTGATCACAGTCTAAATATTGTGATAGGAAAATTTGTAGCCCCGGCATCCTTTTGCACATGAAAATTGTTTTGCAGGATTCCATTGCATCATTTTTTTTTTTTTAATAAGCAAGGAAGAGCTCTACCCACAGTGCAGCCCACAATTAATTATTGCTTCATTGAAGTCTTCTTGCTGATCTCTTGTGCTATGCGTTGAGTGGGAGCTCTCAAGAACATTGCAGATACAGACATAGGAGAGGAATGAGCAGTTGCTAGTATAAGAATATCTGTATTTAAATGGTATTGAGATCAAAGTCCAATGATAAAAAGGGTCTCTGTTGCCACCTAAAGGAAAATTGGGGAAAACATGCTTCCTGTTAGTGCTGGCTTACACCAAAGCATTGGGCTAAACATACTATCGCACAGCACAATGCACCCCATGCTTGCTGTGTTGCCATTTTTTTGAATGGCAACCAAACACCCCTCCTGGCAACTTTTTTCACCACAACGCATGGTATTGCAGTACCCCCAGGAAGTGCATTGGGGTGCCATTCAAATATATCGCAATGCACTAGGGCACCTAGCATATGGTGTAGTGTGCTCTCTGATAGTGCCTTTACCACAATGCTGTGGTTTGAACAGGCACTAAAAGATGACTTTTAACTATCACTTGTCTTTCCATACTTACCACCGATCATTGCTTTCATATAGCAGAACAACGGACTAAACAAATATTATCCAATTACTAGAGCTATGATTTGTTCTTACTTGAATCTTGGTGTGCCTTGTGTATTTCCTGTAATAAGGACCGGCCACTGCTGCTCCTCTCCTTGTGCAGTGTGACTGGTCTTCTCCCCGCCCCCTCCTTTTCTGCAGGCAGTCTGTAGTGTTGGGTCCTTCCCTCAACCTTGCTCTGTGCATAGGCTAAATGCAGCAATGGTTATGCCACTTCTACTTATACAAGGCAATACATGGGCTTGTAAAGGCATTTGGTGCTCACAAAGTAGATTTATAATCTTTGTGGCTTTAAATATTTGATTGAAAGTTTGTGTCCGGAGTTCAGCTATAAAGAGCTATCACTGCTAAAAAATCCTCTGATCCGACACTTCTGCATTTATTGGATGAATCTGCTGAAATGCAGACATTCTTTCCAAAATGAATACCATGAATAGTATTTATTAGTCAAGAAACTTCCTAGAAAGTTCAGTAAAAAAAAAAAAAAGTAGCAGTTATCTAGGGCATCCTGAATGCAGATTCTGTTCATTGTTCCAAGCCTCTTGGAGAACTTGCAGCAGTTCCACCGAAGTGTTTTGGTGTTGTCACTTCCTTCTGTCATTGTTCCCAGCCTGGCTTGAGGGTGCTTGAGATTAATAAGAATAAGGATGTGCCATACCTGGCATATTTGACACCCAGGACTGTTCTAAATGACAATTCTTTTCAGTAATAATTAAATTAAACTAATAATAATGGCCAGAAAAGAAATTCAGACAGTTAAGTGTTTAATATTCCTTAACATTGTTGGTCATTTGAGACGTGTCCCCTTACGTTGCTGGTCAGTTGGAAAAGGGCCCCTTTGATGGTCAGGAGGAATGCTCCCTATATTAGTGGCCGATTTCACAACCCACTTGCAGATGGCCAGAAAAAAAAAATCCTTGGTGTCAGTGGTTACTTATCAGAGAGGCAGAAATGAGTTTCTCAAGGAACCCCTAGCAACCTCAGGAGGAACCCTAGGGCTCCAAGGAATCCTGGTTGGGAAAGGTTGCCTTAAGACTTTAGCACAGTACTGTATATTCCTCCCATGTAATGCCAGAATGGAGACTCCTTCCCAGCTCTTCCTGGGCTTTTTTTTTTTTTAAAGGAGAACTATAGGGCAATCTTTTTTTGGCCATAGTTCGCCTGAGTGTCACGGGAGGACATTTATTAATGTCCTCTGGTGACCCAAAACTCAGTATATAGCGGGCTATTGCCCACTATAAGCTTGAGAGCACAGGGCTGCACCCCAGGCAGTATGGATCCCGACAATACTGTCGAGATCCACCCCACTGGCTGGCTGACAGCTGGCTCTGCCTATCTAGAGGCAGAGCCAGCTGTGCCCGCCCCCTCCCCTGTCCGTTCCTCCACAAAAAGGGGAGGGGGAATCCCTGCGGGGAGAGGACCGGGAAGTCGGCAATCGGCTGTATGTGTTTGTTGACTTCCCGATCATTTGAGCTGACGTGTGAAAGCTTCAGTGTGTATAATTCTCCTTTTTTTTTTTTTATAATTCAGTCCAATACAACATATTAGAACACTGTTTTTGGCTAGACGTGGTGACCGTATTAAGTAGAAAAAAAATAGGGGACACACCAGGTAGTGCACTCACCTCGGTACAGAAAGTATACCCGTAATTTACAAACGTCACAGTTATCAACTGTGTTAGACCAAAAGTCGGCAAGGGGCAGTTGTCTGTCTCGACCAGATAGTCAAATTCACAGAATTTTGCAATCAGAGTGTGCTTTTCAAAGGCTGGGCACTTAGCAAGTTCAGTCCTCTTCTCCGCAATCGTGGGAGAATACGCCAATATCCATTTAACCGCAATCCATCTAAGGGCAAGAAGTAAAGTAGTAGCTAAAGCTAAATGATCATCCATCGCATCCGTATCAAAATATCCCAAAAGACAAGAGGAACAACCTTCTGTGCAAGCCCATAAAAAGCATTTAAAGTGGAGATAACTGCCTTCCCGTATCTCCTCAGTTTAGGACATCGACATAGCAAGTGGATAAGGTCACCTTGAGGTTGGTAACATTTGGCACAGCTGGAAAGCATCTTATGAAGAAATGCCAGAATGTGATCGACTTGGTCAATAATATAGAATTGGGTACGCTTGTGACAAAGAAAGAGACTTTCTGTGCCAATTACAGGACCTGTTCCTAGAGCTCTTAGGAGATTTCTCCAATATCCTCTCCCCACTTACACCTGCTCGCAGAGGGGATGCATTCTATAAATGTATGTAAAAGGTGAGAGTAGGAGTGGAATATGAGACCTTTGGTCATTTCAGCTGCATTTAAAGCATTCAGCAAAGGGGTAGGCTCTTCCTGTGTTGAATCGCCTTGTTTCGGGTTGTCTGGTGGTTTGGGAATATCTGTGTGAATGCGCACGCCTGACCTTTTCCATGCCGACTACTTGGAGAAAGCCCAGAGCTACAAAGATAAAAGAAGACTGGCTGCAGCTTCAGGACACTGCACGAGTATAAGGAAACATTTTAGGTAATCCATAATATCTTCAAAGTTGATTTATTTTGATGCCCAGAATCCTTTAACCAGGAAAGTTTTCATGAAGCTGAGGTTACCCGTTAAACGGTCCGTCTTTTAAGATCTGTAGATTGTCTGTAGACCTCGGTACCTTTTTTTTTATTTGAGCTTATTCTCACTCCAATCAGTCTAAAGGGTTAAGAGAAATGTATGGAGCCATTTCTTGCTTCCCCCATCTATGTGATTGTATCTAGAACTGGCAGATAAAAGCTGGTCTTTGTTGTCATAATCGTTTATTTGATTTTATTTTTACCAATGCTGCTGGCAGATTTAGATAAAGAGAATTTCCTTCTGAGTATATTGATAAAGAAACATCAGGTTCTCTACAATGAACACACAATGGATGCATTGTGAAGAAATGTTCGGGGTCCCAAGTGTAATGGGTTTTTACAGGCTTGCCAATGAAAACACGCTGTAAGCTTCAATATGTCGATTTTAATAGTGATTCCAGGCTATATACACACCGGATATAAAAAGTCTACACACCTCTGTAAAAATTCCAGGTTTTTGAGATGTGAAAAAAGTTCCACCTTTTTATTGTGACCTAAAATCTGTGCAATTCAATTTAAAAACAAACAATTCTTTAAAGGTGAAAAAATAAAACTGACAACATGACTGCATAAATATCCACACCCTTAAACATATTAATACTTTGCTGATTTTTACCTTTTTGATTTTAGGACATCATTCAGTGTTTAGGGTTGGAGTCTACCAGCATGATATATCATACCTTGGGAATCTGCCCACTCTTCCTTGCTAAAGTGCTTCAAATCTGTCAGATTGTAAAAGGGCATCTTGTGCACAGCCCTCTTCAGGTCACCCCACAGATTTTCAATTGGATTCCGGTCCTGGCTCTGGCTGGGCCATTCCAAAACGTTGATCTTCTGGTGTAGCTGTTCTTTTGTTGATTTGGAGGTACGCTTTGGGTCATTGTCGCGCCGAAAGGTTAAATTCTTCAGTTTTTTAGAAGAGGCCTGAAAGTTTTGAACCAAACTTGACTAATATTTATAACTGTTTTTAAGTCCCTCGACCTTGATTAAAGCCCCGGTTTTAGCTATAGGAAAACCACCCTAAAGCATAATGCTGCCGCCACCACCATGCTTCACTGTGGGTATGGTGTTTTTTCTTTTGGTGATGTGCAGTGTTTTTGCGCCAAACATACTGTTTTGGAATTATGGCCAAAAAGTAAAATTTTGGTCTCATCAGAACA